GGATGGATAGGGATCTATCTTAGCCGGGGATAGTGTAGCTTCCCAATAATGAAAGAATTGGTAGAACTTAGAAAAAATTTACAATAAGATTGTTTCAGTAGTTTCGGCCTATTTAATGCAAACAAACGACCAATCGAATGTTTTACAAAAGTTGTGAAAAAAGTCTAAAATTTTTGATAATAACAACCCTTGTGTATAGATTTTTTTTTTACTTCAGTTCAATGACCCAAAGGTTTTTAGGTCGAGTAAACAAAATGGAAATTGGCCGCTGAAACGTCAATCACTCGTACATTGGTACTAACTAAATCGCGGATGCAAAAGGAACAGAGGAGATTTATTTAGGGCCTGTTAAATTATAATATGCCTGGCAACCCTACTTTAGTATTTTATTTACGTTAGTTACTATCGATTGGTGATAATTGTTTTTGATTTATTGAGCTAAATCCCCTCGCTTTTTAACTTTATGAAATATCATAATCCGGCAAGGATATGGTTCAGTATTTATATTACACAGTTTAGAAACATTTCATAAAATCAATGGATAGTCCAAAGTCACTGGTCTAGAGCTGATTTGCCTAGGCAGATTACAAAGTGGCGGCGTAAACAGTTTCCCGCTGACATGATCAGAACAAGAAACACGACTGAAAGTGTCCAGCCGCCTTCACGTTGTGCCGCGTGACGTCTGCGCACGTGCCTCACGTGTCTCGCGCTATAACGCCGCGTAATTTCGACACACAATTTATAATGAGGATAATTAAATGCGTTCATTATTCTTGTTTTTTTTTTCTGTGCAATATTTTGTTTTATTCCTAAGTTAATTTTGACTTCTGACATAAATCGAATATAGTTTTTCTTTTTGTAGAAGATGGCAAACAAACAAGTTGTTTATGGTGATCCATAAACAACTTGTTTGTTTGCCACCTCGATATGGAATAAGACACTAAGCCTTAGGTTGCTACGACATTAAGCCGAGAATCATGACATCTCAGTGGATTTGCACCCAAAGGATTTCTTCTTCTTCTTTTAATTACTAGTGATACCAAAGGATTTAAGGAACCGGGCATTGGTCACTACTCCATGTTTGCGGTTGGGTTGGATACGATTTAATATTTCTGTACCCATCACTAGTTCACTGTGTAGAAACGGACCCCCACAACAAACAAGTGGACACCTAATTTTACTTCTTAATCATATTATAAACCTAATGTTCAGATGACGGATGGATGGATGTTTGTTAGGTGTCTCCAGGCTTAATTGATCTTGATGAAATTAGGCATAGATGTAGAACATAGTTTGGAAGAACACATAGGCTTATTATTTCAATTCCGCGCGAATGGAGTTGCGGGCGACAGCAATGGTTGCATCCTTACATATATTGATGGAAGTCATATTCAAATCGAAAATACGTACGTGTTATATGTAAATGATTGACGTTTTGTTCGAGAAGGTTATCTAAATGACACGAAAACTGTGGAAATGTATGATTGCATATATGAATGTTAAAGGTGTCACGTGTCCCTGCCACATCCTTGTAAAATGGAAATCTGTATGGGTCCGGTGTGAATTTAAAATATGAATATACTTAAAGAAAGGATAATTTATACTTTACACTGTTGGCAAATGTTTCTTAAACATTTAAAAATAAATGGAAGACTTTATTCTAGGTACAATACAGTTATTAGACTTCCCTTTTTATTTAACTCGATCGAAGTGACCATGTCGATTAATGTTATATTTGACAGTAGTAAAAACATAGATAAAAGGTAAGGTTTATCTTATACATAAAATTCTCATGTCACAATGTTAGTTACAATCCTCCGAAACAGCTTGACCGATTTTTATGAAATTTTATATGCGTGACTTATTTCAATTTAAAGTTTATAGCTTACTAGCTGTCGCCTGCAACTCCGTCTTCGCGGTATTAAAAAAACATAATTAGTAGCCTATGTGTTCTTCCAGATAATCTTCTATATGTATGCCAAATTTCATTGAGATCCATTAAGCTCTGGAGATACTTTCAAACAAATATCCATCCATCCATCTAAACATTCGCATTTATAATATTATTAAGACGCTGTCGCCCGCTATTCCATCCGCGCTGAATTAAAAAGAAAACATAATCAGTAGCCTATGTGTTCTTCCAGGCTATGTTCTATATGTATGCCAAATTTCATCGAGATCCATTCAGCTGTTCTGCAGATACCTTCAAATGTCCATCCATCCATCTAAACATTCCCATTTATAATATTAGTAAGATTGTATAACATAATCTCCTCGTAAGGATTCTAAATCCAATTAATTGGTACTCATTGGATGTCGTTCTCTTGTTGCGCAAGACGCTATCGCTTGCGTACTGTTTGCATAACACGGTCACGTTATCGCCAATGAATTCGTATTCAGAACTGCCTGGGAACGACACAAACGTGTACGCTCACGGAGAAAATAAATTGTATGAAAAACGTAAATATTACGAAATTGCTTTGAGGTATTGTTGATTGGCGGTACATTTCTGTTGTCAACAATGAATGCCATTTGAAGCATTGATTTTGCGTTGAGCAATTTTACGTGCTTTCTTTCATTATGGGTTGACTTATGGGCAGTTTTAAAACTGTCACGAGAGTTAATACTAGTAGCGTGTGTATGGGATGAATCGGATTAAGCGTTAATGTTTGAAAACTAGTCTCTTGTTGCAGGGACTGTTTTAAATAGGATTCTATTTTATTTAATCATAAGGTTTAAAATTATTATTGAAATTATTTCGACTTTATCATAAGTCATATTTATTGTTAATGATTGATAAGAAGAATTGTAAAAAAAAATTAGATCCTTTAAGGTCAATCAAAAGCTGTATCTTGGATGAAAGCGAGTTTTTACATTTCACGTTGTTATGGCTAGCTTATGCCCGAGACTCGGTCCGCGCGGAATTTAAAAAAAATAATCATCATCATCAATCATCAGTACCCTATCTGTTTCTCCAGACTTCATTCTATATCTATGCCAAATATCAGCGACATTCATAAACCATTCCGTAGCTTCCTTCTAACATCCATCCATCTAAACTTTCGCATCTATAATAATAGTTGGATGATTATTTTTGTTACAACAATTTATTCAACATCTGATTATTCGTCTGTTTAAAACATTAAAATGTATTAATATTTCAATACGTCCGTATCCATTAGTATCATTTTAGAATTTCTGACTAGAAATAACAAATGGGATTGTTCTTTAGACAAACAAAAGATTGTTTGTTACATTTTATTAGCAAGATTCCTAACGTTACAATGCATTTTGTATGGCTTACACATCACTAAAATGTATATTGTATTTGCGTCACTCTCCTTACAAAGTATTGGTACAAGACAGTCGCTTCCCCAGTGGGGTACTAACTAGTTGACAGTATTTGTTGGTAGATTGTAGTTTTCCATGTCCGATCTAACCTGAATCTATTGGGTACTGTTTTTGTTCGTAAACTGATTTGCAAATAAAGATGTTTTGTGTACAAGGAAGTGATAATATTCTTGCGAATGTAAGTTATAATTTCGTTTTACTTTTAATTTTAATAGTAACCTAATTAACTGTGTTAAATAATTCTTTTCAAACTTGTGTTATCTGTATTTTTTTAGGGTTCCGTACCTCGAAAGAAAAACGGAACCCTTGTAACCTTGTTCGTCCGTCTGTCTGGCAAAGTCTTTTCCTCAGGAACGCGTGAAGTTATCCAAGCTGAATTTTTTTTTAAGGGAAAGCGTGTTTCGACAGTTAATCCCTAAATTTAAGATTCTAGCTGTCGCCCGCGACTCCGTCCGAGCGGAATTAAAAAAAACTATTGGTCGCCGCGTAATTTTCCATAGCCTTCCTCTATAAATAGACTATCCATAAAAAAATATTTTTACAAATCGGACCAGTTGTTCCTGAGATAAGCACGTTGAAACAAACAAACTCTTTCCGCTTTATAATATTATATTAGTATAGATTAAATATGTCGTTGGTTTGTAATTACGATGTTAATACGTCCAAATGAATTATTTGTTCTTTATTTATATAGAAAATTTAAATTTGAATAAATTTAAAAACCTATGTATATTATCTATATCAATTTTAGTAAATATTAAATTATCCCAATTAAAAAATTTGATTGAATGTCGGGATGACTTTTTGATTCAAAATAACGTTTATATTTTCTTATTCCGTTTGTAAATATCTTTGATAGATCGCTGCTTATAATTGTATGGAAAGAAATATTATTTTCGTAGTCTTTGAATGTTCTGACCTTGTTACGATTACACAATAAACATTTGAGATGTTTTGTACTGCGGATGATTGTGTAACCCAACTAGCGTACCTTTAGGAAATTCAATATTCGATCTTGAAATATTTTTGTTCATCCACGGAATTTGTTTTATATCCACGGTATCTTAAGATCAGAAACGAAACCAAAAACATGATCTATTGTTTAGAGGGCGTTAGTATAACTACTAATTTAAAGATCGATTTCAAGATTCTATTATTAATTTCTGTCGTTAGTCAAAGCAGTTGAAAAATTCGGGTAAGTTTTTTACAACACTGTCCGTGCACAATACTGGCTGGTACGTTTATATAAAAGCCACTCGTTTTGAATTAAAAAAAAACTAAATCTCTTTTAGTTTTAGTTAGAAGAGTTTCAGACGTTGAGTAAACGAGTAATAGATACAATAAATATTGCTATTAATTAATCTGACCACAATCATATTAATATGTTATTAATACCTTTATAGAAAAGTAATTGGATTATGTTAAATACAATGATTATTATAATGGAGCTGTTATAAGTTTGTTATTTTTTACTGGTGAAGTATTCCTATCATTTGCGAGTATTTCTGCCCTCAAGCCTATTCATACTGCACAAACCAGCGTACTAGCTACCAACTTATTTTTATTTGTTTAAATCACACTTTGTCTCTTTTGTTTACATACCCACGCATACTTTTTCTAATATATAATATGATTTCATTGTTATACAGATGGGAGCAGGCGCGACGGGTCCGGGCGGGCGACGCGCTCTTGAGTTGCTACTGAGCAGTGGACTCAAGTCTCTCGCCAGGCCAGCCAGACCGGTGCGACGTGCTGCCTCACGCGACTCCGTGCTCTCACAACCCCAGCCGCTGCTTGAAGGTAATATCGTGAATTGCACATCTTTATTACTCTTACCACTAGCGCATATATACGTCTGGCTGCATGCGACATATCAGTCGCACCAGTGGAAATGGTTTTATAGAATAACAGACGTCCGTTGCTGTTAATAAGGTTAGACTCGAATGTGTATTATTTCTGATATCATATGTATAATTGGCAAATGGTCGGAAATAATACTAAGCGACCTTGTATAAGTCATCTATTTTTAAGCTAAATAAATAAATTTGGAATTCACGCGACAAAATGAAGATTATGTTCCGTTTATTAAGTTTATAAAATTTCTTAAGGCTTCAAAGATATGATACCAATGATGATATGATACCTCTTTCCGTTCCCACCCTTTTTGGACCACCAAGGATGGGAAGTGTAAGTGGACTTTCCGGGTGAGAGGATGCGTGGGAAGGGAAAATATTTTCTTTCCTCCGTCGATTAAAGGTAGGCAACGCATATGTAATTGCGTATGTCTATGGGCAACGGTCACTTCGCTATTTCAGCGATTTCAGGTGACCGCTCGCTCTTTTACCACCTTATGTTAAATATAAAATTAAAAACAAAGAATTTTGTAGAAAATAAAAATTGTTACATTTAGTTGGCTTGCGTAACATTTTTATACGTTCAAGGTCAAAGTTCGCTCCGTCCATCTGACTTGCGGTTCCAATGACTATCACATTGGTAGGTTTTACTTTTTGAAAGTAACTATGCCATAGATATAAAAAATTCTAGAAATAAACGTTTCAAATGTAAATATCGCGATGTATAATCTTGGTTTATTTTTAAAGCGCGTGTGCACGTGTCTATCTAGTTGACCCGATCTTCATTCATCTTCAATTGAAACGGTCTATTATTAGGCGACAAAGGCGATGTCACGACCAAGATTTGCCTTTACTGATATGTTAATTATAGTCAGCATATGCGAATACAATTGCCGTTTCCTGTTAGATGATCGACATCTGTGTTTTGACATACAAAGACTTTTGTGATATATTTTAAAAAAAGAATTGGAGGAATGTTTGTAGATTTTTTTAACAATGTAATTCTTTTGCCGTTATATAGTAACATTGTTGAACTGTTTATTCAACGAGAATAACCTTGAGTTTAAACATCGTTTAAAGCATATTGTTATCTCTGTTTTGTTAAAGATAATGATAGGGATGACGATATGTTTATACGTAGATTTTGATTTCCAGAAAGTCACGGTAAGATGGAGGAAAAATTACCTTGCATTTGTGAAAAATTTGTGGTGAATTTTTTTTTAATTTATTTGCGTAAGTTTGATTATCTATATTAATATTTATTATCTTAGTATCATTGTGATAAAATTCACTCTTAAAAATAAATATTGCGCAGTTTTTTTAAATTTTCTAATATGTCACCTGACTTTTTAGCTTTTTATTTCAGAGTTAGTTGATATTGTCATTGGCAGTAATTCAATATACTTGTCGCGTAAATTGCGCGTCAATTAGTGATAGTGATTTCAATATATTGATGATTGTTTTATCTGTATTATTGATGTGCCTGAAGCAGGTCAAGGTGGTGATTTACCTTGGCGCCTCTCTTGGCGGTCATATTATTGCTCAGTTCAACGTATTCTTGTGCGATTTATTGTGTCTTTGAATTTATGTGCTAATTTTATTTTTATTGATCCATCTATTTTTGTAATAAAATAGTATTATAATAAGTAACAATTATTTCGTCTAAATCGACCTCTAGTTTACGTTGGCAGGTTTATTTATATTGAAATAGTTTTGCGCAATTTTGATTATATTTTATTATATTTAACGGTTTACAATCTTTTGCAATGTTCGATATGCCCACCAAATTCGTGATGATCAGACCCGGTCAAGGTTCTTTGAGTCAATTAATTAAGATTGATACGGGACAAATCGAATAGACCTACTTCAAGAGAATTAAAAAGATATCTAATTACTAGCTGTCGGCCGACATATTCAGTGCACAATTAGTCGATGTGTAATATTAGCCTAGTCACACATTTGACCTATAATATTCTCGGGAACATCAGCTACCAAAGTCAAAGTTCCATCCAAATTGGTCCAGCTGTTTCGAAGATTTTTCAGTACAAACGCGGCTTACAGATTGGTGAAACAGACATTTTGATTTTATTAATATTTAAAAAAAAACTTTCAGTCTATGCTCTACATCTATGCCGAATTTCAGCGAGATCCTGGCAGCCGTTCTAGTGATACCTTTCAACAAACATCCATCCATCCGAACATTCGCATTTATAATATTAAGAAGATTATTAAGATAGAAATATATATTAAAACAAAGATTTTACACAAATAATCATCTAAATAAGAAACTACAGGAAATTAACGTAGACTTTCAGGCACCGTTTTTATCATAGCAGTTTATCGCATACTGATTGTAATTGAAATTCTCGTAGTGTTATTGTACGCGTAATGCTTTTGTATCGGCAATATTGTTTGCATACTAAATTGATGTGGATTTATTACCTTACGTTGGACAGGAGTACGTTGAACAAGTTTCCCATTTCTAGTGTAAACATGAGTAAAATTATCTCTATTACTAAATGTCAGGGTTCAAGAGAATTTTTAACCACATCGTTATTACATCGTATTTCGTACTAATGTTGTAAATGCGAATGTTTAGATGGATGGATAGTTTTTTGAAGGTATCTCCAGAACGGCTGAACGGATGTCGCTGAAATTTGGCATAGATGTAGAATAGTCTGGAAGAACACATGGGCCACTTATTTTTAGTACCGCGTGGACGGAGTCGCTGGCGATACCTAGTCTAATAAGATAAGAATTTGTTTGTTGTGGATAATCTCTTAAACTACTTATAAATAAAAAAATGCTAAATCTCAGTTGTTTCATTAATGAGTAACTGACTGACATGTGTAAAATACAAGCCTTCATCATAGTAACCGATGGTTTCTGATAGCAAAATCTCTGCATAAAACATATCCTCATCACTCTCTTTGCCTTTTACAAAATAGAGATGATATGCATTAAATGAGGATTTTGGTATCAGACATCCAAGGTTTGACCTCTTTTCGACTTCGCAACTAATTCTATGACTACTCGAACGACTACTCGTAGCAGCGTCAATGGAAGTTGATACATCGTTCATGCAATGTTGGTGGAAAAAGAGTTTAACAATTACATTTATTGTTCTTTTGTTGCAGGTCTTCGTAAATGTTCGACCGTGCTGGCACTGAGCGAACGCGAGCGTGTAGGCGAGCCGATGCGCGCGCACAATCGCTTGCGAGCTCCCTCCGTCTGCTCCCGATGCTCCTCACTGTTATCCCTTGCCGGCGCTGGTGGATCCAGGTATTGTAAACATACATTGCATATATAAAACTCCTTTTCCAGTAAGCCACATATTTATACAACTTGTTGACAAATAGTTCTTTGAATGGCAAGTGATGTCTACGACACCCCACTCATTTGGTATACTAGAGAGACTTTAGGTTGTGTTAGGAAGAAAATCCGACGCTGCAAGTGTACTGGCGCAACATTAGCCTTAGTAAAATGTCGACGTTTATGTCCCCTCACTAATTCAGACACTGGACTTTGTAACGAAAGCACGCCATTCGTGCCAAAGGATTCTAACTAATAATGTCTAAAAGTAAGTAGAGTAAGGTGGAATCTTTAAAAGAAGGAACATTTTTTTAGATAAATTAATTCTGAAGTTTACCAAATGTTATCATATTAGCTCGTAATTTGTTTTCTTATCTTAGCGTACTTCATAAACTGAATGGACATTGCGTTTGCGGTTAACCCCAATGACCACAATTACAAAACGTCTAGCTTCTGTACTAGGATCTACAAGCGGAATTTAACGCCTAACATTATTATCTTAACAGCTTTAATCTCGTTTGGACAATTGTAGCGTTCTTTTCGTTCGCGTAAACGCGACAAGGAACAATTAGACATACCGCTCTTATGCATATAATATCTTTATCAACTTATGTAACTTTATCACTTTGGCTCTTTTGTTTTTACAAAATAACATATCATACGATTTATAGCAGACTAGCTATCACCCGCGATTCCATCCATGCGGAATTAAAAAAAACTTAATTAATGCCTATGTGTTCTTCCATTAGTTTCTACATTTGTGCCAAATTTCATCAAGATCCGTTCAACCGTTCTGTAGATACCTTCAAACTAACATCCATCCAAACATTCGCGTTTATATTAGTAAAATAGTCGGTGGGTCCAATGCAATTGGAAGAATAATAATGTCTTATTCTTAATAACTACTAAGCGTTGTAGATTTAATTCTTAAAAAGTGCCCATGATAGTAACATTTTCCTTTTTGAAGGTATTCTCTGGACGGCGCTGGAGGTGGGTTTGTGCCGGCCGCGCCTGTCAATTGCAAGCTGTGCCTGGAGGACACGCCTCCGGACAAGGTCACCGTCATCCAGGGCTGCGGATGCTCCTTCTGCACAAAGGTAACGCATTATAGCATAATTTGTGTCTCAAATGTTATTTAAAAAGTGTGAATATGTTATCTCTATAAGACCCTCCTTACATAAGGTTATAAATTTCTAAATACAATTTTCTTGCCAGGAATGTATGTAGTACTAGCTGTCTAGCGTCCTCCGGCCGCATGGAATAAATAAATAAATAAATTAGTAGCCTATGTGTTCTTCGAGGCTATGTTCTAAGTCTATACCAATACAGCATGATCTGCGCAGCGGTTGTGGATATACTTTTTTAATAAACATCCATCAATACATCAAAACATTGGCATTTATAATATTAGCAAGATTAGTAAGATAAGAGAGAAAAAAGCGTGTTTAAATTTTTCTCTAATACCCATCAAAATTGAACTTTAGACTCAAGTTAATGTGTAATCATTCAAACACTTAACAATTGTAGTAATTAATGTAATCTTGCGCTTTGTTAAATCAACGCTGTCGTAATTATCAATTTGGCAGTTGAGTGTAGGCAGAGCAGACAGACGAGTGCTCAGTCGCACGGCACAAAGGTTAATTAATGCCTGTTGACACCGACACGCGTTGACTTTAATTATACTTTAAAAAACAACCTTCCCACTTACTCAATTCCCCATGCGACGGGGGATGACGCAGTTGTATAAAGGTAGGAGTCGACTGGCCCGCACCGGACCAACTGTACTGCCCGCGAGGGTTTTAGTTTGATGTGTATAATTTTACATAGCGCTGCTTCTATTATCCACGGATCAAGACGAAGCAAGTCCGTTTAATCCGTGCATGCGTTGCGTCCGGCGTGGGCCAATGGACGCGAACCTTTAATAAGGATTTTCAAATTCGTCGTACGTAATTTAAGCTACAATATTAATTGTAAAATGATTCTTACACTTTGTATGATGCTAAATTAATAGCACGTCCGTACGTATATTACGTCCGCGCGGAATTAAAAAAAACACTTGTATAGTAGTTAATTGTATTTAAGACTGTGTTCTATCGAACTGTTGCATTGTTAACGAATAAATATGTTAGTCGAACGTTTGTGGAACTGTATGCATTTTGGGATCATAGGTAGATGTGTTAATCCAGACTGTTCTACATCTATACCAAATTTCATCGAGATCCATGCAGTAGTTCTGGAGTTATTATACTTAGTAACAAACATAAATCCATCTAAATATAATATTTGCATTTATAATATTAGTAATATTAAAACGAGTTATTTTCATCAGCTGTGTGAAACGTGATTGTGCATTCAAAACAACGCTAAAGTTCGATCCATATTTAAATTAATTCGACTTTGTTATAAGTTCAAGGTTAACTTAAGATTAAACGGGATTCGTAACAGTTCTATTTAAATGATTAAAAACATAATCTTACCATCTTACTTCTTACTAATATTATAAATGCGAATGTTTAGATGGATGGATGTTTGTTTGAAAATATCTCCTAAACGGCTCACTCGATCTTAATGAAATTTGGAACAGATGTAGAGCATAGTCTGGAAGAACACATAGGTTACTTATTTTTTTTTAATTCCGCGTGAACGGGCGACAGCTAGTTTACTTATAACTAACATTTTTTTTCTATATCCTTCAATCAATATTTTTATTGCTTGCCGCCATTCGGTTGTGTATAAACCTGTTTAATTATTTTATTATTCAAGATCAACGATGTTTTTCACTGCCGCTATTAGTAACTCAATATAGTTATAAAATCTGTTAGATTAATCAACGGTTGCTAGGCTATGACTTACGTAAAAGTTCGATATATCTCAGAGAAAAAGAAATTTATGTTTTTATTCTTAATTTATAGCTAGCCAGTATTTTTGAGAAACGTATAATCTTGTCTTTTCTTTTAAGCTCATGAATCTTTTCTGTTCTTATTGTTTTTAAAAATTTCAGTGACATGGTGGGTTTCTGAAATCAAATTCTTCATTAGCATCATATTGTTGTATCTATTTTGATAAGAGATCGTATGTTTTATACCGAAATGTTGTCAGAAACTCACGGTTATTAGTTTGTCGTTTTGTTGATAAAATTGAAGATACGTCTTATTTACAATGCTTTTAACAAGTGTTTGTAAACTTACAATTTTGACAATCGCTTTTGTGAAATTGTTTGTATATATATAAAAAATGAACAACAGTACAATAAAACAAAAGGTTTGGACAGAATTTCGTATAACAATGAGGCATTAAAATGCATTGCGACCGGCAGTACTACGAGAGTCTGGACTCCATCTAGTCGGAGTTAACGTCTTGAGTTCGTTCACCTATCCAGTGAATAAAATATTGAACTGTTTAGACTTTAGTAGTCTTGGCTTTATCTAGATTATTTTTTTTTTAGATAACACAAATGCCCGCAGACATTTATAAAAGAAATATCAATTTATGTTTGTGTTGAAAGAATGAAAACCAATCATTTATTACCGCACACACAAACACATAGAAGGCACAAAATTAATATAAATGTATAGCAAAAGGAAGCCAGCTCAGCAAAGCATAGACCAGTGGTTCCCAAACTTATTTTGTCTACCCACTTTGAGAAAAAATATTTTTTAGCGCCCCCCCATATTTTCACATATTTAAAAACTATAACGTCAAATTAAATTAATTAACTATTGTGACCTATATATGTATATTAACGGAGAATTCTAAACGAAACTTTTACTATAACCCGCAACTTGAAACCTGCAGCGCCCACAAGGGGGCGTTATCACCCACTTTGGGAAAGACTGGCATAGACTAAACTGTCCCTGCCCTCGATTTAAAGTGGCACCTTAAAAAAACAATAATTCACAATAGTCTAAGCATAGTATTTAAAAATAGTATATAAGTAAATTTCACTTTATTAACATTGGGTTCCTGAGACCAAAACCACCGTTTAAAACATATTGTTATCTCTGTTTTATCAAAGTTGAAAGACAGGGATGACGATATGTTTTACATAGAGATTTCAGTCTCAGCAATCTACGGTAAGAGTTTTAATATCATCAGCTATGTATTAATTTAATTAGTAGAAAATTTAACTATAAAGAAGACTTATTTGAAGATTGATAGTTACCGTGCTTTTCTAATGCTGAAACATGTAAGAAATACGAGCCGTATTCTCTTTAAATTCCGAAAGTTCGATTTGGCTTCGAGACATTTCTCTAAGACAGACTGCAACAAACTAATAGAATTATAAAGGTACATTTTCATACGATGTTATTGTCGATGAGTTCGTCTGATCAATTCAAGTGGTATGACTCAGCTCGGAACTGTTAGGAGCATCGTTATTACCTCACCCCAATAAGACTAATCTAAATGCGTTTTATGATTCGAGGCCGTCATATTTCAAGTACGCTATAGATGTGCGATTTATTGCTGTACTAAATGAAAAGATATCTTTTATCATGTTTTGTTATTGTTTTTTCTTCATGATAACATATGTAATTCGTTTCAGTCGAAAACTTTTGTACAGTCGAACCTGGATAATCGAGAGTCATAATAAAGGAACTCACAATTATAATTTAGCTTAAGGAAAATGTTCAAAAAAGAGTACGGATCAAGAGTCTGTAGATTTTATTGTAAAAGCGTGAGTGATTGTCCAGTCTCGGACGACCTCCATAAGCGAGAAACTAGGGTGAGAGTTAAACCTCTATGTGCGAGAAAGGGACCGCGCTTTGGATCTCGCTTGTCCGATTTCTACTGTATTCTTACATTGAACAAAATGTTAATATTGTTTTAATTTCCTTCCCTTTTATATCGTCAGTGTTAGGATATTTAAAGGAGATTATTTGAAGTTTTATTAACGCTATTTTTCACTGTTATTAGCTATCACGATGTATTGACAAATTGTAAAACTTTCTCAACGTATCAAGTTCTCTGGGTATGACATCGAGACCTTTGCAACATAAATAATACCTCACCTATCAGCCGCTAAATGTTAGTCAGATAAAAAAGTAAATATGATGTATCGATGATTAGAAATATGCATTTACGTTTTAGAAAGTTTTTATAACCTAAGATATTTTACGTCTTTTTTTAGAATAACGATTTCTTGGAACGGCCATGATTCTAAATTGATGTAAAGAATTATGCAATAAAGAGGAATAAAAAATCTATGGTAGTAAAAAATCTTACTACTAATATAAATTCGAACGTTTACATGTGTAGGTACATGTTTCATAATCATCAGCTCACTATACGTCCCCACCGAGGGGCTCGGAGCCTAAGTAAAGGGTGATTAGGCCATAGTCAACCACGCTGGCCAAATGCGGGTTGACATCACACATATCTTTGAATTTCTCGGATATGTGCAGGTTGGATCACGATGTTTTCCTTCACCGGTAGATGTTAGATAGAAGGTATTTCCAGAACGGCTAAAGGGATTTCGCTGTACTTTGGATGGATGTAGGAAATAGTCTACAAGAACACATAGGCTTAGTTTTTTTTAAATTCCGCGCGGACATAGCCCGCAGGCTATTATGTTAATTTTTTTTTGGTGGTATCATTTTTGTGTCTTGATAGAACTGGATTATAATTTCCATTTTTATTTTATTCTGTTTGAATGTATTTGATAATTTAATTAAGAAGTAAAATAAGTGACCTCGGAATTTTTGTTTTATCTCTTACGTCGAATTTAAATTCTAACTGGTTTTTATATCACGATATACATTAATATAACTAAGCCTAAGCTAGCTTACACGCATTTCAAAAACGAGTGTGTATGAATTCGCTAAGATTTTTTTTTATTAATTAACTAGTTTTTCGTGCGACTCCATCCGCGTGGAATAAAAAAAACAACAGCCTTTGTGTTCTTCCAGGTTATGTTATTATTAAATTTAATTGAGATCAGTCCCGGCATTCTGGTGATATCTTCAAAAAACCATTCATCCAACTAAACATTCGCATTTATAATATTTTTTTATGAAAAATATTAGCAGATTTTTTTGTGAATTTACTAAAATTTCTTTTACTATTACAACTAAGCTCTAGGCTTGTGCTAGGATATGGT